AAAAAAAGTTAAGACAAGACTAAAAAAATACATATTTCTTTTTAAAAAAGACGAGTATTTTCTGTTTCACTAAACTTACAAGTATTTTTTGTTTCACTAAACTTACAAGAAGTGATTTGTCGTTATTTCCGGTGAGTGCTAGGCGAATTGCACGAATTGTTTCCGAAGCCTCCAGTACTTTTCGGAGATTAACACTTTGTGGATTTTCAAATTTGTCGCCTTTGAAAATTCGAATTGGTCGATATTTCGTCGGCGGCACTTGAACAGTCTCACAAAACAGTATATCCATCGGGCAATAATTCTCATCCTACATTGCAGTATTCATTAAAAACAAGCAGATAGTTGAGGAAAAAAAACAAATTTTTTGATGTGTACGAGAAAATGCATTTGTGTGTATAGATATTCAAGCAATCCAATTTTTCACTAGGACTACTTCAACAACGGGATTTGCTTCTTTTTTCGAACTTTCCACTGATACCTGCGTAATTTGCTGAGTCAACAATGTATCCTCTGTTATCCTCTACAGTTTTTTTACGGAAGCGGTGAGTCCAGAAGAGAACAAAATACACTTTCGACAGTTATACATTAAGAGCAATTCAAAAACTACTTAAAAAACTCTGCAGCAATATGTCTAAGTTCAGGCTAGTGCTGCAATTCCGAAATGGAAAAGTGAAAGATTCTGCACATATGATATTCTCTGAGCCGGAAGCACTATACAGAACCCCAAACGAGAGTACTATAAAGGACATACAACTCAAATTAAACCGTAAAATACTTAGAAACAAATTAAAAATTAACAAATAGTAAAATATATTATAAAACAAAATAAAAGATCCTATCAGGGAGTTTATTGCGAAAGCGTTCGGAACAAATGCTTTGGCGCTATTTTTGTTCCGACGCAAGTCAAAACATAACACAAAAAGTCTGTCGGGAAATATCTCTCGGTGAGTCTAAGGCCCTGTACCCAGATCGGAAAATAGAAAAGTATCGTAACTATAAACACAAGGTGGTATTTTCACGCACCGTTTCTAAACTGAAGGATGGAACAAGCCTCCCTTTTGCGCTAATGGAAATTCGATTGCAGGAGTATAAAAGGACTCGACACTCGCAGGCGGGTTTCTCGTTCGACTTCGTGGAGCGGTTCGTCTCGTCAGGCCTACGTCCGGATTTTCAATTAATTCCTTGATCATTACTGTTGTATTGCTTAGTATTTGTGACTGGTTGTGTTCAACTTGTACGGCTTAACGAAGGTATCTTGCGTGAAGTTTTAGAATCGTTATCTCTGTCCAGTTCAGACTAATCCGTGGCAATGATTTCTGATAGTCCTCACCGTAGCCAATTTGGGCATTTTGAATCTTCGCATTTGTTCCTAATAAAGTCTACTTGTTGTTGTTCTGCCTGGTTCCCGTAGATTCATCTCCCGCACAATTTATACATTTCAGGACATCACAAACTCACATGCATATCACACAAGTTGGACCTCTCCCGCACGCTAAATTTATTTTCACTGTACATCAACAAAAGGGGGTGATCCGGCCAGTGAGGGTGTTGATGGCTCCATCATTCGTGTAGAAGCAGACACCAATTTTGCATCTTTCATGCGCTAGTACTAACTTTTTACTAAAACGAATCGTAAGCGGATTGCCGCAGTGTGGTACTGAACTACTACTCTAAGCGAAACGATATTTTTCATTATGTTAAACCGGTTAGAAGGCAAAATATCAGTTTACTAAAAAACAAATTTTAGATGGACTGGACTTAAATGTCATGTGCCAGAGGACATTTTATGATGCAGCCTGTGTTTCATCCCTAAGCTGTAAACGCACACCAAACTATGCATGCAGGTAGGAGCGGGAATCATCAGTACAGCTTCTTACCCGCCATGTTCTGAACAGTCATGTGAGTAATTTGCAAGACGGATATGCGAAAGAAAGAGAAATCAGAGAGAGAGCAAGCAGAGTGAGAGAGGAGAGAAGTTAACCCATGATACGGACAATTATCATATGTCATTTATGAGGAAACGTTTTTTTTTTTTTTATGAGAATAGCGTGCTGACTAGGCGTTTAATTCCCGAATCAACGGGGAAGATGAATTTGCTGAGTACTGATCGGTTCCTGAAG